TTCACTCCAATCAGTCTTTTTCACTATGTAGTCCACGTATCTCTTATGGTCCTTCTTCTGACATCCATCTTTTTGCTTCTCTATGGCATCACTGTAATATTTTCTTTTGACAAATTTTTTACTCTCTTTTCCTTTACATCTTATCTATTAAGTGAATATTATTTTCAGCTATTATGTGTTTTGGCCTAACAAATCCATCTGTATGGTTTTAAAGTCCATGTCTGTGAAGTCCATTATTTGGCTTTCTTGGTTATCTAAAGTAAGTTCTTGGTATTTTGTCATCCCCCCTCACCTGCCCATATACTCATCTGGTTGTCAGATATATTAATGTGGTATTTCACTTTTTTTAAATGTTTTTGAGAGACAGAGAGTACAAGTGGGGGATGGGGACAGAGAGAGAGGGAGACCCAGAATCTGAAGCAGGCTCCAGGCTCTGAGCTGTCAGCACAAAGCCCGTCACAGGGCTCGAACTCATGAGCCGTGAGATCATGACCTGAGCTGGAGTCGGACACTTAACTGACTGAGCACCCAGGCGCCCCGTACTGTGATATTTAATGTGAAAAACTGTAGATATAATTAGAGACTCTGGGTGATGGGACATTTCTCCAGATCGGATTTGCTCATGCTTCTGTTAGGAAGATAGGCTAAAGGAGCTGGAGATCCCACAGTAGGCGGACTCATCTAAGGAATATATGATCTGAAGCTTGGCTTCAAACTGTACAATGGAAATTCTACATGTACCTCAGCCTCACGCCTTTCAGAGTCCTGACTGAAAGTGGGTTATTGCCCAAGGTCTCACCTCCTTCCTAGGGCAATTACTGCAGTATTTGTCAGTGTACTACTATTGACTCCACAGAAAGTGATGCTTGGTTTTGTACCACGTCAGCACCTCCTTTAAGAATTGGCAATTCCTATAATTTGAGCTAAAAGCAGCATCAATGACAGGCTCGCTTCTTTGAGCATTCCTTCTTTTTAAAGTTTGGCTTCCAAATTTGCCAGTACCTATGCAAATCTTCGATGCCTTTTAACAGATTTATGATTTTTAGTATAAACCTTATTGAAATATAGTTCACGTAAATGTGTTCATTATAAGTGTAGAGTTACATGAGTTTTGAAAACTATGTACAGCAATGTAAACACTACCAGAATTAGGAAGTAAAGGTATTCCATCATTCCTCAAAATTCTTTTTGCAGTCAATCCCCTAACACCCAAGTCCCAAATGGATTTGTCTTCTATAGTTACAAATTACAATTTGCTTTTTCCCTTTTCTAAAATTTCATATGAGTGGAACTGTATTAACATACGTTCTCTTTTGTGTCTAAACACGTTTAGAACTTCATCTATATATTTACATATATCAGAAATTTGTTTCCTTTTACTGATTAGCATTCCATTGTGCAGATATATCACAATGTGTTCATTCATTTACCTGTTGACAGACATTCACATTATTACCAGTTTATAATTATTATTAATACAGCTGCTATGAAATACCAATATAAGTCTTTTGTGGACAAAAGTTTTCATTTACCGTGGGTAAATATCCAGGGGACTCATATCATAATTGTAAATTTGAGTTTATAAAAAACCATCAAAAATATTTGAGTGGTTATAAATTTTACATTAACCAGAAACATGTGAAAATTCTAAGTGCTCCATATTTAGCAATATTTATAATTGTCAGTTATATAATTTTAGTAATTCTAGTTGGTGTGTAGTATAATTATATTGATATTTCAATATGCACTTCTCTAATGAAAAATAATGTTCATTATAATTTGATATGCTCATTGACCATTTCTTGATCTCATGTTACAAAGTATTTGTTTAAATCTGTTCCCCTTCTTTATGGATCTTTATATTTCTGGATTAAAAGAGTACTTTATATATTTTGGATATAAACCCTTTGTAAGATATATATTTAAAATGTTTTTCCCCACTCTCTAGTTTTCCATTTTCTTAGGGTGTGCATAGGGCTCCCCAGAGACGCCTATGTGTGTGTGGGGTGGGAGGTGTTAAAGAGTTTTTAAAAAATTGTCTCACATGGGGCGCCTGGGTGGCGCAGTCGGTTAAGCGTCCGACTTCAGCCAGGTCACGATCTCGCGGTCCGTGAGTTCGAGCCCCGCGTCGGGCTCTGGGCTGATGGCTCGGAGCCTGGAGCCTGTTTCCGATTCTGTGTCTCCCTCTCTCTCTGCCCCTCCCCCATTCATGCTCTGTCTCTCTCTGTCCCAAAAATAAAATAAACGTTGAAAAAATTGTCTCACATGATTGTGTGGGCTGGCAAGTTGGAAATCTATAGGGGAGGCCAGCAAATAGGAAATTAAGGTAGAATTTGATGTTGCAGTATTGAGTCCAAAATCTCCATTGCAGAGCAAAAGACTGAAAATTCACTCAGAATTGTTATGTTCTTGAAGTAGAATTCATTCTTCTTGAGAAACTTCAGTTTTTGTTCATAAGACCTTCAACTGATTGGATGTGGCTAACCCACATTATGGAGGATAATCTGCTTTACTGAGAGCCAACTGATTACAAAAGTTAATCACTTCTAGGGGCGCCTGGGTGGCTCAGTCAGTTGAGCGTCCAACTTTGGCTCAGGTCATGATCTCATGGTTCATGAGTTTGAGCCCTGCATCACTCTCTGCCCCTCCCCCGCTCGCTCTCTCTCTCTCTCTCTCTCTCTCTCTCAAAAATAAACAAAAACATTAAAAAAAAATTTTTTTTAAGTTAATCACATCTAAAACAGTACCTTCACAGCAACATCTGGATTAGTGTTTGACCGAACAACTGGGTACCATAGCTTAGCCAAGCTGGACACAGGAAATCAATCATCAGAGTGTCTGAAGCAGAAAATTTTAATTATGATAACTCTAACTTATCCATTGTAATAACTCAAGCCTTTTATGTTACATATATATAAAACTATGTCTACCCCCAATACTGCTAAAATTACTCATACTTTTATAAATTTTATAGTTTTAGCATTCTTAAATGGATGTCTATATAAAGTAAATATTTTGTGTGAAGTATTAGATTAAGTGGCAGTTTGTTTCTATTTTGTTATTCAGTTGTTTCAGCACTATTTGATTTAAAAAAACTCTTCTTTTTCATTGAATTTTTTAGAACCCATGTTAAAAATACATAGACCAGATGCATTATTTTCATAGGTTTTTGTAAGTAAGACTCATTTTCTCACCTCCTGCTTCCAAAACTAGATTCCTGAGAAAGAGATTTATTTTAAATAATTGGCTCACCTGGCAAGAATCTGTGTATTTTCAGCCCACTTTTTCAAACTCTAAACTTGTTCCTCAAAAGTGTCTTGGAGAACACTTTAGGAACAGTCAAGTAAGGACTTCTGAATATCCACTCTGAGAGGGGTGTGGTGGGGCAGGGGTGGGGGGGATGGGGGGAGAGAACAGTGGCAAATGGTCAACGTCAACTTTTTCTAAACTTTGGAAATCACCCAAGGCTTCAAGAAGCTGGAGAGCATTTCTTCAAGAACAACAAGTGAATCTCAGTAAGAACTGTGAGCTCTGAGGATGCTCTTTCCTAGTCACCTCCACAGATCAGTGGTAGTCTTAAAACTTAGAGGCCTAAGAGCAAGAGCAACTAAAGAGAAGGGGAGGGGGAGGGGGAGGGGAGAAAAAGAAAGAAAGGAAAGGAAAGGGAAAAGGAAAGAAACCCCAGTGTAGTAGGTACTGAAGGGACAATTGTTTGGGAAGTTTCCAAAAAAGCCCACTACCAGAGAACTGTCACTGTTTGACCTGTCTGGAAGCTTCCTGGAAATGCCCATTCACCAGCTTTGAACTGACTTAGAGTTCACACAGTGAGGAAACATCTGGCTGTTAGTCAAAAATAAATAACAGCGATTGTGTCAAATTGCAGCTGCCTCAGGCAGAAAAACTAGGAAGGGCTAGAAAGATGGCCAAGAAAATTATATCGGAAAATCCAGGGAATCGATGTGCACAAATGGTTACACGTAGAGGTCTAGAGGGCAGAATACACATGCAAGCAGGCATGGAAGCTCAGGAAGACAATGTAAAAGACCCTAATCTCTCACAAGCAGGAAATGAAAGCTAAGAAAGAACTATAAACCACCAGAGCACCGAGGGCATGCTGCAACATGTACACAGAGCCTGTTTTCTTTTTTTTTTTTTTTAATTTTTTTTTTTTAACATTTATTTATTTTTTTTTTTTGGGGACAGAGAGAGACAGAGCATGAACGGGGGAGGGGCAGAGAGAGAGGGAGACACAGAATCAGAAACAGGCTCCAGGCTCTGAGCCATCAGCCCAGAGCCCGACGCGGGGCTCGAACTCACGGACCGCGAGATCGTGACCTGGCTGAAGTCGGACGCTTAACCGACTGCGCCACCCAGGCGCCCCTACAGAGCCTGTTTTCAAATGGGGACGATTCATTGCTTTAAGGCATTGTTTTGAAGTTGTTTTTTTTTTTTAATTTTTTTTAATGTTTATTTTTATTTTTGAGAGAGAGCAAGAGCACAAGCAGGGCAGCGAGAGAGGGAGACACAGAATCCGAAGCAGGCTCCAGGCTCTGAGCTGTCAGCACAAAGCTTGACGCCGGGCTCCAACTCACAAACCGCAAGATCATGACCTGAGCCAAAGTCAGACGCTTAACCAACTGAGCCACCCAGGTGCCCCGGCACTGCTTTGAAGTTTCTGCCAATCACTGGTTGACTATGAAGTTGACCAAAAATATTGTCGGCTCCGGCTCCACAGTAGACAGAATAGGGAATGCATTGTATTGATCCAGATAAGTAATCAAACAGCAAACTAACAAGCTTTTGGAAGTGGGGGGGGAGGGGGGAGGAGAGGGGAGGGCTGATTTCTAGAGTCCCTATATTATATTATGTAAAATAACTAGTTTTTGCCCTGGCCCTCAGCCTCCACTGTCAGCGGATTCTGCCTGTGCCGCAGGGTCAGGGCCTCTGGTATGTCCCGGGGGAGTGTCCTGAAGCTACTATACCACACCTGGTGGCACTAGACAGTGTTGGGCCTGGGTGGCCTGGTGCTCTGCAGTGCCGGACTTCTCTACCTGGCCTGCTGTGCGGCTCTTGGCCCTAGCCTGCCAGAGGCCGCAGCCCTCCTCCCGCTGGGCCAGCACGGGCCACCACCTTCCTGGCGGTACCGTTGGCCCGTGCGCCGTGGGCAGCCGCACGGCACTGTGTGGTGCACCACACAAAGGAGGCGGCCGCACGGCCCAGCAGCCAGGGTGACATGCGGGCACATTCTGCCAGTGGGCACAGGCAGCCTGGGCGCCGAGGAGCGGCTAGCCCTGGCACGCGAGCAGGCACAGCACGGTGACCTGCTGCTCCCCCGGCTGCACCACGTGTGCGAGAACCTCATGGCCAAGGTACCGGCCACGCTGGTCTGGCTGGAGGGCATGTGGCCTTTGCATTCATGCTAAAGGCGGATGCTGACGCGTTTGCGGGGCAGGGCGAGCTGCTGGCAGAGCTGTGCACACGTGACCCCAGGGACGGTCACCATCTCAACTGGGGCTTCCTTTTAGGCCACGGCAGTGCCAAGCCTCAGGGCCACTGGCACAAAGCCATCTGACAGCTCTGTGACTACTACCTGCCGTACACGCCGAGCAGTGGCTCTGCGCTCTCAGCGGACCTGGTGCACTACCTGTGCCGCAGCTTGAGCACTTGCACACGTGGCACAGCGAGGAGGTGTCCCTGGGCACCTGGCCGGCATCAATGGGTGTCCGGCACGAGTACGACCCCTGCTTCCACACCGAGTCCAAGTCCAGCGGCTGTAGCGACCTGTACCCAGTGACACGCAAGCTGAACCTGGAGGACATGCTGAAAAAGCGCAAGGCCCTGGTGGGAGAGGACCACCTGTGCAAGCAGGACATGCAGCTGCGCCTTTCCTATGTCTTCGACTGGCGGGCGCCTCCCCCACAATGCTGTCAGAGGAAGGAGGGCCTCCCCTGAGCTGCAGCCTAGCTGACCTGCCACAGTCACAACAGCACTGTTGGGAGCCAGGACAGATGCTTTGGGAGGTGGCCGGCACAGCCAGTCATTCAGGGGCCGGTGGGGCAGATGATGAGTGGCCTCCCGCTGGCCTCGCATGGACAAAGCTGGCAGGTTCTGGCTAGTGGTTCAAAATGAGTCCAGCGCCCAGGAGACCTGGTTTATTCAGCGCCAAATGGGGTTTTCAGGCAGAAGCCAAGCAGCAGTGGGCAGCTCCTGGATCCCAACTCTGGTAGGCACCCTGGGCTATACACCCCAGTGGCCACCATGGGGCCTCACTCAAAGAGCATCTTGTTCGGGGTCTGGGAGACCCATGGTACTTGCCAGGACAACACATAATGTCCAGGTACAAATGCTTGTCACTGGATTTCAGGCAGTGTTGGCCTAGACTGGGAAGATGTCCGGTTTGGGGTGTGATGGCAGACAGCAGGGGCTTGCAGCCCCACCTCAGCCTGTCCGCTTGCTGTTCTCTCCCAAGGTAGGGGCAAGCAGCCAGAGGCTGGAGCTGACAGGCGCTTGCAGACCCTGACCCCAAAGAAAGAATCTAGACTTGTTCAGGGGTGGGGACTGTGTCATTTCCTACATCCTGTGTTGACCATCCACCTAGGAAATCCCTGCACCAAGAGCTGTGGCTGCAGGGAAATGACCCTTGGACCCTTACATGTTGCAGCTTAGCTGTGTTGCACTCCAATGGCATTTATCAAAATTGCTATAGATTTCCTGCATTAGGTTACCTTTTTTAATATGTCACGTTGGTATCTTTTGTCATGTGTAAGTTTAAAATTTAACTTTGTGTTATGTTACTTAGCTTCAATGGTATTTTGCTCTGTGTTGCTCTAGAGTGAATTTGTGACAAATGTAATTCAGGGCTAGCCTGTGACTTATTTATAAATAATGTAAATTTGTGTAGATGAGGGTTTAAGTTGGGAATGTGTGGGTCTCAGTATTTTTAAAATTATTTAAGGGCAAATTTTTCTTCAGAACGTGGAATTTGTGGATTAATCCATTGTTACAACTTGCGTTGTAGAGCCATTGCTGCATGCGTATTTAAATGTGGAAGAATTTTAAAACTGTCAAAAAATGAAATAACTAGTTTTTAACAAAAATTATGAATCATGCAAAGAAGTAAGAAAGTACAGTCCACACAAAACAAAACAGTCACTAGATACTGTCCCCAAGGAGCTCAAATGTTGGAATTACATGTAAAAACTTTAAAATAACTGTTATAAATATGCTTAGCAAATGAAAAAACATGTTTAAAAAATTTTTTTAAAGCATGAGAATAACATCTTACCATATAAAAAACTTTCAATGAAGAAACCAAATAAAACTTCTGGACAGAAAGTTCAATAACTGAAATTAAAAAGCCACTAAATAAGGTCAACAAATAATTGGAACTGGCAGGGAAAAATAGCAGTAAGCTTGAAGACAGGTCAATTGAGATGATCTAATCTGAGGGATGAAACAGAAGAGGGAGGAGGGAAGAGAAGAGGGGACAAGAGGGGAGAAGAAGGGAGGAGAAGAAGAAGAAGGGAGAAGAAGAAGGGAGAAGGGAGGGGGAGGATGGAGGGGGAGGATGGAGGAGGAGGAGGGAGAAGAAGGAGGAGGAGGGAGGAGAAGAAGGAGAAGGGAGGAGAAGAGAAGAAGAAAGAAGAAAGAAAAAGAAGAAGAAAGAAACCCAAAATGTCAGAGTCCACTGAAACACCATCAAGTGCACCAGATGTACAGTAAAGGAGTCCCAGAAGGAAAGGAGAAAGGGGCACATTTCAAAACTATTTCGAGACCAATTAGTTCCCAAATTTAAAGCAAAATAGTAATCTACTTATCCAAGAAGCAATGAATTTCAATTACAATAAACAAAAAGAGATCCACACATAGTCACATCAAAGTCAAACTGTCAAAAGCCAGACTTATATACACATTGAAAGCAGTAAAAAAAAAAATAATAATAATAATAATAATAATCTAATTAAAAATGTGAACAAGAAATGAACAGACATTTCTCCAAAGAAGACATCCAGATGGCAAACAGACACATGAAAACATCACTCATCATCATGGAAATGCTAATCAAAACTAAAGTGAGACCTCACACCTGTCAGAATGGCTAAAATCAACAACACAAGAAACATGTGTTGATGAGGCTATGGAGAAAAAGGAATCCCTTTGCACTGTTGGTGCGAATGCAAACTTGCGTACCACTGTGGAAAACAGGTTGGAGTTTCCTCAAAAAGTTAAAAATAGCACTATCCTATGATCCAGTAATCACCTTACTGGGTATTTACCCCCAAAATACAAAAACCTTAATTCAAAGGGATACATGTGCTCTTGTGTATATAGCAGCATTATTCACAACAGCTCAATTACAGAAACAGTCCAAGTGTCCATCTACAGATGAATGAATAAAGAAGATGTAGTTTATATACACATCGGTATATCATTCAGCCATAAAAAACATGAAATCTTACCATTTCCAACAACGTGGAGGGACCTAAAGAGTATAATGCTAAGCAAAAGAAGTCCGTCAGAGACAGACAAATACTATATGATTTCACTCATATGGGACTTAAGAAACAAACAAAAAGGAGCAAAGGGGGAAAGAGAGAGAGAGGCAAATCAAGAAACAGACTCCCAGCTATAGAGAACAAACTGATGGTTACCAGAGGGATGGGTAAAATAGGTGATGCAGATTAAGGAGTGCACTTGTCATTATGAGAATATTGTGTGATGCATGGAATTGTTGAATGACTATATTGTACACCTGAAACTAATATAACACTGTATGTTAATTATACTGGAATTAAAATTAAATTAAATTAAAAGAATGTAGTAGAAAACAATTACTCCTAAGGGATCCACATTTAGATTAACCACTGACTTCTCAGCAGACATCATGAAGACCCATGAGCAATGGAATGACTTATTCAAAATCAAAGAAAAGACCATCAACCAATAATTCTAAGTCCATAAAAACTATCTTTCAAAAATGAAGGTGAAATTAAGATCATCCCAGACCAAAACAAACAAACAAACAAACAAAAAACTGACAATCTGTCTCTAACAGGTCAGACATGTATGCAGTTGAATCTTCTATTCATAACTGCATAGAAGAGTAATTACAAAATTGTGTTGAAGGGCTTAAAATTGACGACCTTATAAAGACATAATGTATATGAAAATGGTACCACAAATGCATGGGGAGATAACATAGCCATACTGGAGCAATATGTTTGTATACAATTGAAATTAAGTTGGTACTAATGTGAACTAAAATGATTTAAGTTAAAATGTACTTATAATCCCAGAGTGATCACTAAGGAAGTAAGTAAAAAGTGACACAAAAATACATAGGAGTTAAACCAGTAGAATAAACAATATCTATTCTTAAAATTTTTTTATGTTTATTTATTTTGAGGGAGAGAGAGAGACAGAGCACGAGTGGGGAGGGGCAGAGAGAGGGAGACACAGAATCTGAAGCAGGCTCCAGGCTCTGAGCTGTCAGCACAGAGCCTGACATGGGGCTTGAACTCACGAACTGCGAGATCATGAGCCACCCAGGTGCCCAACAATACCTATTTAATACATAAGAAGCCAGTAACACAGAAATGGAGAAAAAAATAAAGACACAGAAATGTAGAAAACAAAGAGTCACAAAATGGTAAATGGTGCAGTAAGAAGCTCCAAGAATCCATCCCTCCAGCAAAACCAATACTGAAATGATAAAAACTGTCAAAAATCACTATTTTGGAAACCTACTCTAGTTGAAAATTTGAAGTGATCAGTGGAGTCCCTGAGGAAGAAAGAGGCTGGTAAATTTAAATGCTTGGCATTTAAATATTGGTAAATTTAAATGCTTGGCATAGTAGTTATCAGCCCTAAGCCCCAGCCATGCAGAAGCTAGAAATTGAGATTCTGTTCCATATCCTGCTGTGGCTTGTTAGTTCCAGATGAGCTTTGTCCTCCAAAATCTAGGTTTACATTTTGATCTGATTGGTTTGGTTATTCATTTAAGAAATAGCACAGAGAGTGACCATTTTAAACTCAGACAGAAGTGATTTCTACTGTCTGAAGAAAGAATTTAAAGGGACAAAACACTTGTATTTTCCTTTTGGGTCCAAGTATTTAAGGAGAACTCTGTCAGGGCACTGGCTAAACATGTAGATAGTAGAACAGAGACATCATGGTCACACATGACAAGGAATACAACATTTGCAAAAATAGTTTGGAAAAGCCTTTTTTTTTTTTTTTTTTT